GAGACTGCGAATTAGTATTTAAATAAAGCTTTTACAATACGAATGTTAAAAATTACGCAGAAATAGGTTTAAGAAGATATTGTTTCCAATCTAAAAATCGAAGTTCTATTTTATTCTAATTCGTTGCAATCGAAGTAGAACAGTTTGACAGTTTAATCGTTGTATGTAGATTGGCCAATTCGAATTAAAAATGGATGCAATAAATGTAATATATAAACATTTAATTTATATTGAACAATCCCATCTGTATTGAACAAATCCCATAAAAGTTTGAAATCAGTTGCCAACATGATCCCTATGCAGGTAAGATTGTCTTCGATTTGTTAACTGAATCGTTAAAAATACTTTAACGATTTCTGTTTATAATTGGAGTAACTCGATGTATACTTACATCAACATTCGAACCCTTAACAAAGGCACCTTGAGGGTGAACGTGATCATAAAGGATCACTAATCCAACCATCACTCTTAGAACAAAGAGTTGAGTTTCTTCCCGTTGGAACTGCGCCAGAAGATTGCTAAGAAAAATAATACACGTCAGTTTAAACCGAAACGATAAGTCACTTCCTCTTCCCGAAAGCTTTGTATTCTATTTATGTAACTCGAGAATGCTTTTTTACGTTGAATTATCAATGAAGGATTTTACTTACGGATTTTCTAACATTCGTAGGCAAACTTTCGCCATAGTACCAAGAGTTTCCGTGATATTTTCGCGCGCTACATCTTCGTTCTGAAATAATAAACACGCGATGTTACTTCTTTAAACAAGAGCATTGACCTGTAGAAATAATGGAACTGGGTTAACATAGTGTAATCAATACATTACGAAGTGATACTAACAATTAGACAGCGGATATTACGGAAAAACTGAATAAATCAAGTGCAAAACAGTGAAACCATTTAACAGATTTAAAACCAATGTTCTATTGCTTTCAATTCATTAATATAATCGAGGAAAGAAATATATGTTGTTGTAGCTTCACTATCTTGCAATTAATACAAGCGATTTTCATTTTGTAAAAGATGACATAAAAGTGTAGAAAAACGTTAAATATTATTTAAACAATTCATATCTTTCACGTGGTATTTATATTTGGTTTAAATATGAAACGGGGAATCCATAAATAAAATTTTAAAGCCTTAAAATTCACAATATAGTTGTATAATTTAGAGAAACTTAAGTGATGCGATTATGATATTAAAAAAATGGTTAAGTAGTAATGTAATGAAATGTAATGAAATATTAATGAAATGATAGGATTGAGAAATAGTTAGATATGTGCGAAACACTTTTTGATCGATACATAACATCGACCGCGTATTGGACGTGTTAAAATATTTTTAGTTGTCTATTTTTCTAACTGGAAGATCGATGTGGTTTACCAAACACATGTCCTAAACACTTCCTGTATCTTCCCAATGNGAGACTGCGAATTAGTATTTAAATAAAGCTTTTACAATACGAATGTTAAAAATTACGCAGAAATAGGTTTAAGAAGATATTGTTTCCAATCTAAAAATCGAAGTTCTATTTTATTCTAATTCGTTGCAATCGAAGTAGANGAGACTGCGAATTAGTATTTAAATAAAGCTTTTACAATACGAATGTTAAAAATTACGCAGAAATAGGTTTAAGAAGATATTGTTTCCAATCTAAAAATCGAAGTTCTATTTTATTCTAATTCGTTGCAATCGAAGTAGAACAGTTTGACAGTTTAATCGTTGTATGTAGATTGGCCAATTCGAATTAAAAATGGATGCAATAAATGTAATATATAAACATTTAATTTATATTGAACAATCCCATCTGTATTGAACAAATCCCATAAAAGTTTGAAATCAGTTGCCAACATGATCCCTATGCAGGTAAGATTGTCTTCGATTTGTTAACTGAATCGTTAAAAATACTTTAACGATTTCTGTTTATAATTGGAGTAACTCGATGTATACTTACATCAACATTCGAACCCTTAACAAAGGCACCTTGAGGGTGAACGTGATCATAAAGGATCACTAATCCAACCATCACTCTTAGAACAAAGAGTTGAGTTTCTTCCCGTTGGAACTGCGCCAGAAGATTGCTAAGAAAAATAATACACGTCAGTTTAAACCGAAACGATAAGTCACTTCCTCTTCCCGAAAGCTTTGTATTCTATTTATGTAACTCGAGAATGCTTTTTTACGTTGAATTATCAATGAAGGATTTTACTTACGGATTTTCTAACATTCGTAGGCAAACTTTCGCCATAGTACCAAGAGTTTCCGTGATATTTTCGCGCGCTACATCTTCGTTCTGAAATAATAAACACGCGATGTTACTTCTTTAAACAAGAGCATTGACCTGTAGAAATAATGGAACTGGGTTAACATAGTGTAATCAATACATTACGAAGTGATACTAACAATTAGACAGCGGATATTACGGAAAAACTGAATAAATCAAGTGCAAAACAGTGAAACCATTTAACAGATTTAAAACCAATGTTCTATTGCTTTCAATTCATTAATATAATCGAGGAAAGAAATATATGTTGTTGTAGCTTCACTATCTTGCAATTAATACAAGCGATTTTCATTTTGTAAAAGATGACATAAAAGTGTAGAAAAACGTTAAATATTATTTAAACAATTCATATCTTTCACGTGGTATTTATATTTGGTTTAAATATGAAACGGGGAATCCATAAATAAAATTTTAAAGCCTTAAAATTCACAATATAGTTGTATAATTTAGAGAAACTTAAGTGATGCGATTATGATATTAAAAAAATGGTTAAGTAGTAATGTAATGAAATGTAATGAAATATTAATGAAATGATAGGATTGAGAAATAGTTAGATATGTGCGAAACACTTTTTGATCGATACATAACATCGACCGCGTATTGGACGTGTTAAAATATTTTTAGTTGTCTATTTTTCTAACTGGAAGATCGATGTGGTTTACCAAACACATGTCCTAAACACTTCCTGTATCTTCCCAATGGAAACTGTATCTGTGCAATTTAAACGGATCTACCATTAGGCTGTTAAATGTTCCGAGAAGGGTTGCAGTCTGATTCATTTCATATAATGGATTTTAATTTTCTACTTGAGCGCACTTAACTATTTTTATATTGTACTGTTATTCTCTTTATCCGAAGGCAGTTTTGCCTGCCAACGCAAGTTCCCGCGCAGCTAATTTGTATACTTGTTTTCTTCAATCGAAATGATTGCAGAAGCATGAAAATTAATCTTAAATCTATCCAATAATCTAAGAAGGAAAACAATTGTTCTTAAAAACATTATCTCAACGTTACAAATATTTGTTTGGTAAACGTAGTACGTAAAAGATAACGCGATATCACTTCATTACGATGTTCTCTTTAGTTGTTTGTGTAGGCTATTCACGGTAAATTCTCCACAAAGGAGCCTAAAAATATTTCAATTCTGGTATAAAATAGCATAGATAAAAATAGGCCGTCAGTGAACGGTTAAGAATGGAAAGCTCATCGCCACTCGACATATACGTTTATACGAAGAATAGGTTCCGCAACAATGCTGTCTCGTCCAATATTATACATACATATAGCGAAGCGAATGAACTCATTTGAACCGAAACCAAAATAGATCTTCATTATCAGAGACATCGCGAAAGTGATATTTATAAAATAGTAAAGCAGCGACTTAACCAAAGAGTATCGATTTCGTCTCGTTGCAATTAATTTGTGAACAATTTACGGAATTGAGATTTATCACGTCTAGACTGCTGTTAAATAAATTAGATTGTCAGATCGGATCTTCGTAGCCAAAAATCCGCAGACTAAGATAAGATAAAATAAAACAATTCCCTACATTGTTTCAGACAAACAAAACATAAAATCGACCCATTCGTTCGCTTCAAAATTCAAATAAGACAATTCAACATTTCGTGAATGAGTGCACAAAAATTCAATCAACCGATTATTTTCTTTTCAACGGACTGCCATTGAATAAAGCTATTCCATTACAATTTATTCTACAAAAATATTCCACTTAGTATCCACTCGACCGAGAAGAATCGGAAATAAGACACGTAAATATTAATGGTTCGTTTCTAAACGGCGGATACTTTGGATTCCACGTAACAAGAATGCAGTCTAGCATAAGTTGGCGTCTGGTCAGATCAATAATCGCCGGCAACGGAAGAAAGATAGGAAAGTACAAAGAAGAGAAGTGGGTACCACTTACGTCCATCAAGAAAGTAATGCTTGCGTGACTCAGAACGCGAAGCATGGGTGTCGCGTGGGCGTAGAACAAGGACATTCGGTTGGCAAGCTCATTCCCAACCACGAGATTCTTTTCAGCGGTGTCCTGCCTCGTCAGGGATGCTCTGGTCAACGTTCTCCGGTAGTAACTGAAGTCGTTCTGGATCGCGGGGGTCTTCATCTTGTGCTCGTCAAATTTTAAAACGAATTCCAATATCTCGGCCAGCTGTTTCACCAGAGCCTGTTGCGTCTCCAGATGCTGGGTAGGAGACAGGTTCCCTGAACATAATTGACCCAGGATCTTCGGCACCACCCTTTCTGGAACAGTCCAAATTGCCACAGTGAATGAAACTAATTTTATTTACTTATTTATTTATTGAGCATCAACGGGCCAAATGCCCTTCTAATTTCTCTACAAACATTCAATATAATAATGCAAAAGTAATAATACAAAAGTAATAAAATTAAGATAATGGTTACAATGGTTATATTAGCTTATGAGCTAATAAGCTTATGAGCTGATAAGGATAGGAACCGAACCATAATGTGGCATCTCGTGAAATTTTGCTGATCACCTGGATGAAGATAATACATACAACAAATTCGCATATGTTGGTTTAAAACATGCTAACAAAAATAATCTATGTCTCATATGTAGAGCTTCATTGATACACTATGGATTTTTATACGCAAGTGTGCACATTAATAAAAATTATTAATATTTTGATTTCGCTCTCATCATGAGCAATTTTTTAGTTATAGAATTTTATAAAATAAATGAAAATTGACACGGAGACATTGTTGAGATGTTTCTCTGACTGTAGCTTGTACATTGAAATTATAAACGATTGACAATCCTACTAAAAAACGTAGTTGTATAAAAGTATCGTTAATTTTCAACTTAAAAATAAATTATCAATCAATTATAAAAACACTGCAAATAATTTACTAGGTCGATGCATAGAAAATATTAGTTTCACTAATAGGTGAACTATCGACAGCAGTTAGTGGCGAGAATTTATAAATTTCGCAGAAACATCTGTTTTCTATACGCGTTTATTGACTCATTAACAGCGCCGGCCCGCTTTGGCAACTTCCGCGGAATTTCGAATAGAGGCGATAAATTCTTCGGAATTTTGAAACGGCTGGAAGTATCGGTTGTGTCGATGCGATGCTATTGGATTTTCGATCACCGGCGTATGTCGGAATTTCCCAGCTAAACAATTCCCAGCTGTACATCGCTGGCGCAATATCGACGTTTAACTTGGTACGTTTTTATCTGGCCCCAGCGAGTGACAGTGTAATTAAAGCACGCTGCAGATACCTCTACATGAAAACGAAAAAAGGTTTCCGCTTTTGATTTGTCTGGTCAAGAAGTCGAAACGGTGGTTCACCCATTAAAATTGCTAACAGCCCATCGGAATTTCGATTCGATATTGTTGGCACCAGAGAAATGAATTTAAAAATGTTACACGATAGTATCAAATTTTTAAATTAATATTTCACGATGTATGAACACGTTTTCAAATAGATTTCACCGAAACATTCGAAACAAAAATTGATTTCCAAGTCTTTTATTTATGCACAAATGAAAATATGTTTAACCCTGGAATTACCAAACCGGTAAAAATGATGATGGTTCGACATGTTTTTGCACAGTTACTGAAATTATAGAAACGTTTCGATAAAAAATTTTTCTTTTTCTTTACTGGAGCATATACTATAATGTTATATAATATATAATTATTGTTATAAAATGATTTAGAGCTCGGTAGTTCCAGGGTTAAGTATAAATGGGAAATGAGATGCAAAGTGGAACAAAGTTAGCACCGTGTTTTGAATGTATTCGAGGTAGCAGTACCTTTGAAACTGACTGTTCAGACGGGAAACAGTTTTTTCGAAATTGCTGTTAACAGGAAAACGAAGGAAACTTACCAAGTTCCAAAGAAAACTCATAGAATTTTTTCAGCTTTGCAACAAGAGGAGCCACGGTCAGATAGGCTTTCCGCTGACACTCTTCCGTGGCCTCCGAAATCGCTTCCCTGATTTCTTTGCCGGCTCCTTTGTAGCACTGAATCTCCTCCAAGATAGATTCTGAATTTTTCAGAACTCTTTGCACCGCCTCAAAGGTCTCCCGTTCCATGTCGGAAGGTTGTGCGTCTGGAATACGATACAAACCGCTATCATTATCCGGCCGGTGCCTATCGTTTCTGAAAGGCTTCCAAAGCCCCATTCGAAAATATTCCCTCTTCCGTAGGGAATTTAACGAGCGCTTCGAGAGTTTACCATGCAAGAATAAACTAGTTTAACTTACTTTCGAAGTCCAAAAAGACGTCATACTTTTGAGGCGTGCAACAGGTAGACTCATCCCGAGCCAGAAGACTTAAAAGCTTGCCCATCTTCGGTTAGAGAGTTTCTCTGCTCAAACGTTCCTTACAGCATGAAAGGCATCTGGATTGAAAGGAAAACTCTTTCAGTAAATACTCGACCGCACGAAACGCGGAGGTGTCGCGTTAAATCGTTCCGCGAAACGCGTTGCTCGCGAAAGTCACTCGCTAATGTCACTCGCCGATGTCACTCGGAAAGAAGTACAACGAACCGTAAAACGGAGACGAACGATTAACGATGCGAACGTGTAATTTATCGGTGGCCTGTCTACAATAAAAGCTGGAAATAGTAGCGGATCGTTGACAGATCCCGTAAATACACCTGTCTACCGAGAAACGCGAGAATAAATCCCGACGGAGTCGCGCTCGAGTGGACTTTCGTTCAGCGTTTCGAGCTTGCGTCGTTACCGGTCGGAGTCAGAACGGAATTTGAATTTCTGGCCCGATCCCTAAACCGATCTGCGCGGACATGTCGAAGTGTTAATTCCAGACGAACTGCGTGTATGCATGCGAACGCGTGCACGTACACAGGCGTCCGGACTTGTGTATGCACGCAGAACGAATGAATTCTGTGAACTCGTGAACGAGGGACGAACGTTCTGTTCTGTTAATTCGAGTCTGCTTAGTCAATGTGTGCTGACCTCACCTGGCACGATAAAGAGTTCTAAGGACCCTCATCTCGCACGATTACTGATTTCGATGGGCTCTCGATTTTCGTTTCCGCTTTTATTCGCGGACATTAGCAGAAATTACGCAATCAATCTAAAAATGTTACTATCGTCCACTCCACAGCTTCTGCATATTGGTATATTGTAAATGAAGTTCTTACGCTTGTTGCTCTAATAAAACACTTCTAAAATTGCTATTTTTTTCATAACAACTATATAATAGAATATAATTTTAATTTTGTTAACGTAGTTTTGTAATATTTTCCAATTATCGGTTTTTCTTTCGAGCATACTCGTCATAACACAAAATTTGACTTTTTTTATGATAAGCATACTTGTCAAAAACGGCCAGCTGGTCAAGAAGGATATATGCTTTGATATTCTTTATTAAATTATATATTTTAGGAAAGTGTTGTATTTAACCAACATATAAAGAACATCAAACTTATACAATGTAATTACAGTATCTTAAATACTTTTCAAATAGATTGCAACAGCTGACTGATTAATTTTTATATATGCTATAAGTAGACTAAGTCTAAGTTGATTGTAAGAAACGTAAGTCAAATGAAAATGTTTTTCCTCTTTTAATAATTTCAATAAGGTGTACGTACTATAAAAATATTCATTTTTGTCAAAAATGCATAAAATCCACAAATCCACAATAATACAATCTTAATGTAAATAGTGAAAGAATCTGTAGAAACAAAAATACGAAAGCTTTGTTCATTAAGATTATTATCTTCGAACATTATCGTACATTGAAACAGATGTCATGGCAATTAGACTGCGAATTTCATACGTTTGTGACAAAAATTAATAAATGAAACATAAAGCAGTAGAAAGATTAAAAGAATCAAAGTCATGTTATTAAAATTACCAAAAGAAAAAGAAATTTTTTTATTTTTCACGCAAATCTGCAGTCCAATGACAATGAACTAAAATCTAAATTCAGATCTAATCTCTACGATAAGAATTCCATATCAGATTCACTCCGACGGTAATGCAGGGATCAAACAGCGTTATCTCATTGTCAGCTTTGTTAGCTTTTTACGATAACACGTGCAATATTACGTCTTGTCGTTAGAAACCAAGGAAAAAAACCGACAAGATTGTTCCGCAGTTGCGATGCAGTCGATGTGAATCATAGAAATTCGTCGAGTAGGATTTATCGGATGAAGCGACCGCGATTGACGTTATTGGAGCGATAAAACCGCGATAAACACTGGCATTCGGTGAAACCACGTCCGAACCGAAAGGACAACGGTCGGTTTTACTAGATCTAAAATTGTGCAGCAGGAGATTCCAATGTACCGGTGAATGTCTCCGTTATTTTTAGCGGGGAAGTGTACGTACCGCTAACGAACTTCCCTCGTCACTTAGAGCCCCGCATAGTGGCAAGATAGCCCCGCGTGAAAAATTCATTAATCCACGCTAAAAGCTTCCGATAAAGTTGATAAAAGGCCAGCTGATACAGCGCACCCGATGGAATTTACTTTCCCTTATCCGGCCAACGTAGCGCGGATAAACCGACCATCGGCGCTGTTCGTACGGATCGATCACACTTTTCTTTCACGAGGAATCGGACACAGTTGGAAATAACTTCGCACTGCGATTGGAATAAATGTTTGCACGATTCCTCGTGTGATACGGCGCAGAGCTGAACGCGGGGCCTGCACTCTGTCTTCGTGCCGACGCCGAAGGGGCTGTCAGGATCTTTCCCAGCGATGTCAGCGTGATCGGCCGCGCAAACATAGTTCGAACGCACCCCCGCAGCAGCACTTCGTTGCTGCGTGGCTCGGAGCACTGCGAAATTTTCACTGGGGCGCGGCGGTCACGAGTTCACAGAGAGAAGGAACAGAATCACTCGGACTCATGGGATTGTTTCGCGAGGGTCGAGCAAGGGGTAGTAAATCGAACGGAAATTGACGATTTCTGCCGGGTCTAGACTCACCGTGGTGCAGACTTGCCGAAATCGCAACCGGCAACGCCAATACATGATGCTGGCAGGTGCACGTCCTAGGGTGGTCAACAAGTACGCGAACGGAGTGCAACAACTGTCATTCAGCGGACCGCCATATTGCCGTTCCCGATGGGGGTTAACGTTGTGTAGTGGCGCGGTTCGAGACCTCTCCTTATTTGGTAAACTACCCTGGCGGCGGCACGTTCGCGCGAAAAATCAATGGGGGTTAGTTCGCCCGTTTACCCTCGGGGTGACGCTGCTGACTACTATTTACGATCGCTTGAATCTCAGGGAAACTTTTCGTTCGGTCAGCTGGTCGATTATTGATTCGACATAGAGAATATTGTTCGGAGGAATTTATCGAGGCTTGAGAAATATTTTAGGATTTTACTATCGTATTTTTGTTCGACAGAATATTGACAGAATGATCCGAAAATGGCGCTCGTTTGACGGCACTCGACCGCGGAGCGTTGACACCTCGAAACTGATTGTCTTTTACGTTTGGATCGATGAACGTTAACAAGGTTTTGGAAATCTAGTTGGATTTGTAGTTATTTCAGAAATAGTCTTCGTTTTGTTAAGACGATTCCGATATGATATTTAGAATAGTTATTTAAACTCCACCATTTGCAGACGATTCTCATCGATGATCTACAAGTAATTGTAGCAAAATTTCGTTGGAAAAATGATCGATAAACGTTTATTGCTCTCTGATTGTTTTATGCGAACTCAGGACTTTGTGCATTAATAGCTACTTGAACGTGTGTGCGAAAGTTTCGAGACATTTCTATTTTTATCCGGGAGATAATTTTGCTATTAATAGAATTATAATTTTAATAAATTTATAATATAAGACGGGAAGTAATTGCAATGCCTGTAAATTAATCCATGAAAACCTGGCTTGTACAAAGACCTTCGGTTTATTTGTTAATAAATATAGAAAGTAAAAAGATATCGTTATTTTAAGATAAGTTTTGTGATCATTGAATTGCCACGCTATATTTTTATTTAAATTAAATACCTAGTATATTTAAGAAAATTATACATACATTCGTCTTCCCAGAAATGTTATATGATAACAAATAAGTATCTTTACTAGATAAGATTTACATTTACAATGATAACACTGCATAAAATTCACAAATGAAAATCAATAAATTGATATGAACATTTTAATTTCTGCGAAAAAGAAGTTTTTATATAATATTACAAATAATATTTCAGTACAAAATATTTTAGTAACATAAATTTCAATTTTATTTGTAACGTTATACCTTAATATAATATATCATTATGTAGAAAATATAAAAATAATATAATTACTAAATTTTGTATATTAAAGTGTCTGTGTTTAAAGAAATGAAACCATTAAAATTTGTATTTCAAATAACTGAAAGATAAGTTATTTTTATTGATTGGAAGTAAATAAAATGGTTGCAGACTCCTTTTGCAAATATACATGCAGTGTCATCGCAAATACGGAAATTTATCTGTGATGACTGCATCGGTATATTTGCGAAGCACGTGGGCTCTGCGGGTTGTACTTCAAAATATGGTTACTGATTTAGAATTTCTCGGGAACTGGCGGCCAACTGATCCATGAGGGGGTACGCTTGTTTTCGTGGACCAACGGGTTGCCGGTAACGGTCAGAATGGAACTTGAAAGGGCAGACAATATGGTTGAGGTTGACTGAGTTGCTCGGAATAAATCGTGTTTAATGTTTATGTAGCTTTACCGAGAATACGCGGTTCAGCTCCTTTATAGGTTAACGCTCGAGGAATAGACAGATGACATTGAAATGACATCCCATTTATAAGTTATCGGAAAATTCTCATACTCGTTCAACAACTCCAGATACTTTGTGAAGAGAGACAGAAGCTATTCAATGACTAACGTTGAATAGTTCTACGGAACAAATGAGATTTAGAGATCATTTTCTAGATTGAGTTGTACGCGCGCGTACGAAATTACATAGAAAAGTTTAATATTTTATTAGAAGAATATATACAATTAAAAACGAAAGTATTAACACAGATAACTTTTAATTATATGATTTACATCTTGATAATACAACGATATTTAATGTATTTATTTAATATTTCAAGTGTAGTCCATTGTAAACGTAATAGCTTATAATCAACAAATGTAATTAATGATGGTAATTTCTTATTTAAAGTCGTCGAAACATTGTTAATATTTTAATAAATTATATCAAAAGCTATATAAACTGAAAAGTTGTATATGTAGGGTGTGTTTGTGAGAATGATAAATGATAATGATAAATAAAAATTAAATAAAATTATTAGATCATAAACAATGTGCAGACTGAAATTCTATGCACTTGCAGCAACTGCAACTGCATGAAACTCGCAATTAGTGGAAGAAGAGGTTTCTGTAACGTAACA